TTTTTTTTTTTTTTTTTTACCCCCCTTGGGATCTCAAGTTAAGCCTGACGTTATTGAGGACGGAGTCTGTAACAGAGCTCCGCACGCACGGTCCGAATTCCCAGTTCTAGGAGTGAAATAGGCAAGACGAGACATCTCCGGGCTTCAGTCTATTCCCCCAGGGGTAACGTCTTGCATAACTATAGTGCAATATTACAATTGACAGGAAATTGACGTTGATGCAATCCATAGACCTTCTTCAAATCTTACCAGTTTTCCGTGCATTCGTTCATTTGCATGTGTGTATTCTGTGCTATGCAGTTTTGTCACCTGTGTAGAAGCCTGCGACCACCACCGTCAAGACACTGAACAGTTTCTATCACAAGGACCCATCCTAGTACTATTTTATAGCCACAGCCACCTTCCTCTCTCCCCCCTCCCTAAGTCCCTAAGGCAACCACTGGTCTTTTCTCCATCTCTGTAATTTTGTCATTTGAAGCATGTTATATAAATGGAATCATACAGTATGTAACCTTTAGAGGTCGGCTTTTTTCACTCTATGTAATTCCCTTGAAATCCATTCAAATTCTGTGTGTATCAGCCTTTGTTCCTTTTTATGAGTAGTATTGATGGTTTCTTTTTAAAATGTATGAATCTCTGCCATCCACCCTGAAACAACCCCGTGCTTTTATACGTGTATTCGTTTCTTAGTGCTGCCGTAACGAAGTACCAGAAACTAGGTGGTTTAAAACAACAGGAATTGATTCTCACAGTTGTCAGAGTCTGAACTCTCAGGAGCCGGCAGGACCATGTTCTCTCGGAAGGCTCTAGGAGAGGATCCTTTCTTGCCTCTTCCAACTTCTGGTGTTTGCTGGCCATCCTTGGTGTTCCTGGGCTCATAGATGCGTCACTCCGGTCACATGGCTGTCTTCTCCTTGTGTCTCTTCACGTTGTCTTCCTTCTATACGGGTCTGTCCTCTTTATAAGGACATCACTCATGTTGCATGAGGACCCACCCTGACCTCATTTTAACTTGGCCTCTGTAAAGAACCCATTTCCAAGAAGGTTGCATTCTGAGGTACAGGGGGTTAGGGCACACTTCCCCCCGTAACAATCTGGTATCTTTATTTCTGAGAACAAAGTCAAGATCCATTGTCTCAGGCCAAAGGAAATGACCTGGCTGCAGAATGGCTGGATTCCTGAGGGACAGTGTCCATACTTCAGGGGTGACTCGGGTGGGAGTTCATTCAGGGGCTCCAAATCAGAGGGCCCACACAGGAGTGGGGGCCTTGGTCAGCACCCATCACTCACAGCAGAGCTGGAGTTGAGGACAAGGCTGTGGGGTCAGGAAAGACAATGCCTGGTAGCAGTACTTCAGCCATAGACTGTCCTCTGGAGGGGTTTAGACAGTGGACACTCAGGACTGGGGAGGGTAAGATGACAGACTGGGCCACCATGAAGAGGATAGCTGTGACTCAAGGCTAATGGATTCTTTTTTGTTTTTTTTTTTTTGCTTTAGAATCTTAAATTTTTAAACTGAAATATAAAACATGAAATTCACCATTTTAAAGTGTATAATTCAGTGATTTTTAGTAAACATTCATGAAACTGTGCAACCATCCACCATCTAATTCCAGAATATTTCCATCACCCCAAAAAGAAACCCAGGACCTGTTGGGAGCCACTCCCAATTTCCCCTTTCCCAGCCCCTGGTAACCTCTAATTTACTTTCTGTCTCTACGCATTTGCCTAATCTGAATATTTCACATAAATGGAATCATACAAATGTCCTTTTCTGTTTGGTTTCTTTCACTCAGCATAATTTTTTCAGGGTTCATCCATGTTGTAGCATGTATCAGTACTTCATTCCTTTTTATGAGTGAATAATATTCCACGGAATAGATATTCTACATTTTGTTTATTCATTCACTAGTTCATGGATATGTGCATTGTTTCCACTTTTTGCCTGTTGTGAATAATACTGCAATGAACATTCATGGAGAAGCTTTTGTGTGAATATGTGTTTTCAGTTCTCTGGGGTATGTACACCCAGGAGTGGAATTGTTGGGTCATATAGTAATTCTAAGATTCTTGAAGGACAGCAAGAAGACTCAAGGAGCCGTTTAGGAAGGAGATACAACTGGTTCTCCGATGGGGATGACAGTTTCTAATGCTCACCAAATGATAGCGTACTTGGCTTTTGGAGATATTGACTTAAAAACTTAGGCAAGATAAGTGTGTGGGGATCAGTGTAAGGGCATCTAGCTGCTGCAGCGAACCCAGGGAACCAAGGCAGTGAAAATGAGGTGGAGAGAATGAAAGAAAACTACTACATTCACAGAAGAAGTTTTGCTTAAGAGCAGGAAAAAAAAACGTTGGATGTAAGAGGAAGGAATTGCTTCTCAATACTCAAAGTATAAAAAACACATTTGGGGCCGGCCTGGTGGTGTAGTGGTTAAGTTTGCACGCTCCGCTTCGGCGGTCGGGGGTTCGCAGGTTTGGATTCTGGGTATGCACCAATGCACCGCTTGTCAAGCCATGCTGTGGCGGTGCCTCATATAAAGTAGAGGAAGATGGGCATGGATATTAGCCCGGGGCCAATCTTCCTCAACAGAAAAAGAGGAGGATTGGCAACAGATGTTAGCTCAGGGCTAACCTTCCTCACCAAAAAAAGAAACACAAACCACATTTCCTTATTTTACTTTTGTAAATCATGTCATATCTGGCTCCAAGCTTCCACATGCCAAAATCAACAAAAATCTGATATCATTCCCCTACCGCTCAATGGGAAATGGTTCTCTTCCCTTCCCTTGGATTTTACCAGGACCCAGGAAAAACAGGGAGAGGCTGTGACCTGTGTTTTATTGATTACTCCCGATGGTCCTTTTCCAGACACACTCTCTGGCCTCTGGTCAGCAAACTACTCGACTCTCTTCTAGGCAATCCATCCCCATTCCCTTCAAAACCTTTTTTGCACACCCAGTTATCCCCACAGACAATCTAGGCAGATTATCTCAGTTAGCCTAGGTCTTCCTCCAGAAAACTCCTATTTGGGTCAGCCTTCCCTGCAATCAAATAAACAAATAAACATCAAAAAAAACTGTAAACTGCATCCCTGTGGGGGGAGAGCTCTAAATTCTAGAACACAAAACCTTGCCTGCTCTTGGGGAAAATCACCCTTTACTTTCTTCCCTGTGCTGAGTCTCTGGTAGCAAGAATCTCCAAGAGACCAATCCATTTCTTGATAACTCACTCAATTATGTTAATTTGGAGCCTCATAATCATACTTTAATCACTTTTTTAGTGGAAAAAATTAAGCTATGAAAGGGATTTTGAATTTTAAATGTTTAAACATGTCAGAGTAGAGTGAGTTAACTGTTTAAAGTTTCATTGTTTTTGAACTCAAAGTTGGTTTGGAATTTTACTTTTTAATTGACCTTGAAACTACATTCTCTCCAGTTCTGCATGTATGGGACTAACAGGACCTATACCGTAGGGTGATTGTGAGGATTAAATGAGTTAATAAAAGCATTTTGAACAGTACCTGACATATAATAAATGGTCAATAAGTGTTGGACTTATAATACACGATGTATAATATATAATACACAATGTATAATATATAATACGTTGTCATTTGTAAACTATGTAAAATGATTGTAGAGAAAGTTGTCAGCAAAAACGTTAAGTTAGGGGTTAAGTGTTCAGAGAAATATTATCTATCATACTCAGCCAGGCCATCTGTCACGGCAGGATGGCAGAGCACCAAGAAGATGGGTAGGAGGCCCCACAAATAGGAGGTGAAGATAGAAACTCCACCCTGGGGGAAAGTTCCGACAGCTGGGAGCAATGTTCCTATTTCTGCTGTCACTTTCTACAGCGAGACGACACCCAACCAAGACAATAAACTTGTAACGCGAACCACTCCAAGAGGAAGCAGCTTCGTGTTCCACTCCAATTACACCAGGAGCATCCCCTACTGACTCTCATTTAGCTAAGAGCCCAACGTGATCTGTCTCCCTCAAGACTCCTTCTTCACAAAAGATAGTCTGCCCTTTCTCTTCCACTCCGACTCTTCCTTATCTCATCTCCTGGTGAGGAGAACTTGGAAGAAGAGGAAAACTTTTCAAGAACTGCCTACTTTCACCTCTGGTTTTTGGTTCACTCCTAAATAACTCAGGATAAAACCAAGGAAGAAAGTGACAGAACCACAGGGTTTTAAAAATGCAAACCCAAGATGTATCCGAGAATCCTAAACCCAAATGCCTAGAAGGGCCAGGCAGCAGGGTTGGTGGACATGAGACAAGAGGAAGTGGGCCGAAAGCTCTTGTAGATTAGAAGGAAGCAGTGTGTGTCCAGTGCCACGAGATTTTTAATTTCTGAAGAAATTGAAAATATAGGTCCTTGTGAAATCTCCCAGTTTACAAATAGTGATTTTTGTTTTAGAAATAAAACCCCGTGCAAGCCACACAAAGCCAATCTGTAGGCTTT